TGGTAAAACAAGGGTATACTCCATAACTCCAGGGTTGTTATACTACAAAAAAAAACTTATATCCTACATGTGAGGGGATTAGGTAGTCTAAACTTAGATCTAGCCTATCATAGGAAGCCAAACTTAGCAAGGTCACTTGCATACTTTCCTAACCAAACTTAACCGTAAAACCTTTAAACCTTAAAACATTAAAAACATTCCTTCATCATCCTCATTAAAATCTTTTTGCATTTTGGCACAGGAATCTTAATCATTTGTTAAAAAAAGGAATAATTGAGAGAATGGAATTCGGTAAGAGGAACACCATCCAAATCAAGATAAGGGAATCTAACATAGAGGTCTTGAAAGCATATGCCATGAGACTTCCAAAAGAAAGAAGGCCACCCATAATCCACAAGTACGGGGAAATTTTGGACCTCTCGATTGTTCCTGTCCAAAATAAAGCTTTAACAGCTCTACAATTCTACGACCCTGGATTAAGGTGTTTTCAATTCCAGAATTTCCAAATGGCTCCAACCCTTGAATAATTTCATAAGATCTTAGGGTCTCCTAAGACTGTAAATGGTTCTTTTAAAGCAATAGGGTATCATCCTTCAATTGGAGAAATTTCTAATCATCTCAACGTCAATTCCAATGACTTACAAGCTAATTTAAGGGTCCAGGGGATTTCAAAGGGTTCTCAAAGATTTTTTGGGAAAAGAAAGTTGCTGATTTTGCTACTTACAAGAATTGGAAGGCGTTAGGCAATGTAATGGTACTTCTCATCTTTGGGTTGATTATATTTCCTAGTGAGAAAAATTTTATGGATATCACAACCATAAATATGTTCCTAGGAGTAAAGATTGAGGAAGAAGATCCTATACTGGATCTCCTTGTAGATGTTTATTATACTCTACATCAAAGGCATGCAAATAGGGGATGGGTAATGTTATGTTATGCTTTGTTACTGTACAAATGGTTTGGCTTTCATTTAGCAAGGGGCATAATTGATATTGAAAGAATGAATGGACACAAGTGGACCCAATACCTGGTCTAACGTATTGATACAGAAATTTTGTGGTTTCCTTAAAATCATTAACCGCAAGGACAAGATCTTAAGTTGTGGGAGCTTCCCTAATGTGCCACTTATAGGGTCGAGAGGGTGTATAACTTATAGTCCAATTTTAGCTATGAGACAATTGGGGTACCCCTTGGCTTATAAACCTGAAGATAAGTTATTGGAGGATTTCTTCTTACAAGGAGTGACTGTGAATAATCCCACTGTTCTAAAAATTGTTCACGCTCAGAGGCAACTTAACAAAGGGAAAATTAGTTTAAAAAGATCTAGGGAGGAGTCCACCATGCCCTATACCCAATGGATCGGGGGGATGGTACACATAATAAAGTTACCATTTGCTTTGGATCACCCCATTGAACCAATAACTCATGCACCAATCATGATCTCCATGGAAGAAGGAAATACCCTTAATGCTACTATTCTACAACTAATGAGAGAAAATGAGAAGCTAGAAGAAAGGTTCTACCGAACTACCTGCGAGAAGAATCAGTTAAATAGGGACCTTAATCAAGCTCTAAAACAACTCAATAAGAGCGAAAAGATGACTTTAAAATGGTTTTCCAGACAAGAATTGAACTTTAAAATGATTTGTTAGTCGGGAACTGGACTTTAGATTGCCAAGCAATGTTGGGCTTTGGTGTCATATATTCAGTTACAAGTTTTTCTGGTGACAGATTCATGTTGTGGGGTTAGGCTCGATGAATGATATGATATGCATGGCTCTATGCATGAGCGAAGCGACATGACTAATGCATGTGAATGATTTATGCAATGAGATGAAGGATTCCAAAATGCCCCAGCAAAGGTAATGGAAGGAAATGTTCCTTTGCAGCAAGGCTTCTTGTCTGTTAAAAAGCAAAAGGTTATTTGATGGGGGTGATAGCATGATACCCTGACACTCGTCTTGAACTCGGCGGTTATTGACAAAATTTTCTTGAGCGACTTGAAGGCATGGAAAAGACTTGCCCCTTTGTAGCTAAACTTTCCCTAGTCTGGGTCTTTGAAGAATTTTCCTTGAAAGGATGTTTGGAAGCAGTTGTACCATGAGATGACCTCGAGATGGCTTGCCCCATAATTTCAAGTCATGAAAGGATTTATCATTGATTAGGAAATTTAGAAGCATTTGTACCATGAGATGACCTCGAGATGGTTTGCCCCAGAATTTTGAGTCATGAAAGGATTTGTCCTTGGTTAGGAAATTTGTAAGCAGTTGTACCATGAGATGACCTCGAGATGGCTTGCTCCATAATTTTGAGTCATGAAAGGATTTGTCCTTGATTAAATGACTCTTGAAGTAGTTGGCTTCGATGTACTCTCGAGGTAGATTGCCCCAAAATGAGCGTTGAAATGACTTAACTTGTGCTGATTGAACACTTGAGGGATTTATTCTTAATCAAAATAACCTATGGGTAGCCTGCCTTTAGTTAATAGAGTCGTGAGATGACTTGCTCCGATCAACCGATTCTTGAATGATTTACCCCATAATCAACTATTGCTTGAGGACTTGCTTTAGACTGACTGATTCCTTAATCATTGGATGTCATGCCCTTGATTCATAAGACTATAAGATATTCTTGATTCTGATCCACTTTGATGAATGATCAAATCCTCTTTGATCGCTCATTGTTGAAATTTCCTTGATGTCAAGTACTCACTTGCAATTAAAATCGTTCATTCATAAATGATAATTTTAATGTGATGCTCATGCGAGTTTTGGAAAAAAATCAATCATTATTGGAATGATGCGACAGTGTGTGACGGATGGACCATTAGTCCAAACACATTGCTGATTTAGCTAGAGAAAGATATAGCAAGAAGAAGATTAACATATTTGTAGGAGTCAGTTTACGCAATCTTGTTGTAGTATGCTTTCAGAATAAACTCTACCTCAAATAAGTCTTTTTAAAGGTTGTAATGTGGTCTGATTCACAGTTTATGAAACAAAGGATATAAGGCTCAAAATTTGATTTTAACCCACCCCTTCGTCGTAATGTTCTACAGTCCTACGTTCAGTTAAATTGACACACACATTTGCCTTCTAATAGAGCTCAACGATGTGTGAGTGAAAATGATGATTCAAGATTCACTTGAAATGACAATCACCTTATTTTGTTGTTGTCATGGATGTCAGTGATCCTTTGATTTTCTACATGGTGGTCATTAAATCTTGTTTTTTCTTTCTTGAGGATTTGAGGACGTCTTTCGATTGATTTTTCTTTTGATCCCTGATTTTTGCCTGGACTGCTTTTGTTTTTTCAAATCCATCGGGATTGCTTTGATTTTTGCCTAAGTCGCCTCTTTGGGTGTTCGACTTAGCGGACTTTTTTTTTCTTTGTTTGGAAAAAAGCTTGTGATTGCCAAGTCATTAGTCATTGAAGAACAACCACTATAACTCTTGAATTTTACATGGTTCCTTCGACATATCATGATATTTGCAAAGAATAGCATATGACTGATCCTCAGACAAGATGTTTCATCTTGTAATTGAATGTGTAGTCAGATTAACTAAACACTACACATGCCCCAAGTTAAGTGTAAATGTTTAGAAATTCGAAGGAAACTCCTACTTCTAGGTTTGAAATGGTTAACTAGGGACTAACTCCTTATCACTCCAGTGTTAGGGGATTTGAAAAACTGTCTGTATATCATCAGCAGAATTTTATCTGTAAGCATACCATCAACAATTATGAGTCTTTCATTTTCATCATCCTCCCTCCAATCTTTACTAAAACAATAATTTGTCAAAGTAGACGAGATGTTTTAAAAACTATGACGTTTCTTGATAGTCTTCGTTGTGTATATGTCTAGATTCTAGCATATCATGTGTCATATAATGTATATAAATATTTTGGACATATATTATTACATGATATTTGGTTGTTATAAAACTTTCAAACAAAACCTAAACAAATTTGAATGATCGAGGAAGTTAACAACATGCCTTAAATAAAGTTTTAACATAATTACATGAAAAGGAATTCAAAAGAATTACTAGAGATTTGGGAAGATACTTTCAATTTCCTCCATCTTAAAATAAAAATCTTTTTAAATTGTTACACAATTATTAAAAGAAAATAATGTTTGAAAGAATAAATGTGACAATTTTATAAAATTGATCCTAATAACTATTGAGTATCATATATTGTCATAAATGCGTAGTATTATTTCACGGAGAGGATCCTCTTCAATGGTATTTTCACTGAAGAGTGTTCACTTTATATCATCACCCTTTAATTTTCTTAAAATGTGTAGTACAACAAATTGTGCGGCTAAGATTTCACTGCACACAATTTACAATGTAGAGAATCTCACCCATTGTTTAGTGTCTAAAAAGTACCGTAGTGAAGACAATATTAAGTTGATAAAATTTAATTAATATTACATTGAAAAACAAAATGAAAATTATTTCAATACAAAAGATTTTTTGACTAAAAAATTCTTAAGACGGAGGAAAGTAATGGACTTGAACAAGATATCATTCTCAAACAATTTGACAAATATTTTCACAAAGAAATGTTATAGATGCACTAATAATTTGACAAGTTATTAGGCACTATTAGTCTTCACTACTTCATAAACTCTTTAAACTTGAAAGGTACTTCTAAGGAGTATCTCTTTCGTCTGATAATTTTCTTTAGCATGAGCCGCAACCATATAAAAGCTTTCATTTGACCCTCGTGAAAGCTGTATTTTATAGCTTCTTTGCTTTGACATCAATACTGCCTTAGGACGCGAAAGCGAAATTACAGCTGTGGTTCCAAACAAACCAAAAGTTGTGCATAGAGACACCTCAATAGCTCCAAGTTCTGCTACGAATGCGAACTTCATTCTTGACTTGATATTCGGAAGGCAAAAAAGGGACTCCAGAGAGTGTTCAACCACGGCTCCTTGTCTGGAGTAGAAACTCCTCTTGACATTGAATGAGTCATCTGAATATACTATGTCATTTTAATTCAGAAAGCTCCGCCATGAAATCACCTGTTATTCTGACTCAACGTGATGCAAATAAGCTGAATTGGTTGGTCAGTCTGAATTGGTTGTATCTTAAAGTTATCAACTAAAGTAAATTATATATGGGAAATGCTTATCACACAGTTTAAATAAGTTACACAAGATTCAACAGACCTTGTTTCTGCATCTTTAGATTCAACAGCAAGTGCATCATGCCAATCTTCAAACTAGGATGCTCTTCAGGATCAGCCAAAGAGTATGCGGCTTTCGGATTAACCTGTGCATCTTAGCAAATAATGAGAAATTATTTATTTAACCCACATGCTATCTGTCGATAATAAGTTACCTTGTAATTAAAGTCCCTTGCTGTGTAGCAAGAGTTGCAAGTTTAATACTCCTTCAGTATGTCCTAAACAAAAACATAGAGGTAACAATCCACTCAAATCCATTGCATGTTTAAAACAGTTCCTAGCCATTTCTAAGAACAAATATTACAGTATGCTGCAAAAATCAAACATCAAGAAGTGCCCTCAAAGCCATTACTGGATTGGTTTGGAATGGAATTGAGCAGAATACTACAGTTGCCAGAACCTACTGGCTCTCTTGAAAGTTCCCGTAGTAAGGTTAGAGGCATCTACCTCGTCGTGGAGAGGGGTGTCTCGGCTGAGCTCCCGTTCAGCACCCGTTTTCTTTGATGATAGAAAGGTATTATTAGCATCCTCCATTGAAGAAAGAACCTCTATATCCCAAAGTTTCAGTACAACAAGAATAACATCAGAAAGTACATTATACATTCAACGTAAGAGTAAACTAAGCCATATGAAGAATCATGTGTGTATTAAAAATTCATTAACAAATTACACTACCTGTTAATCTTCGACGTCTTCTACAGTAGAACCAAAATCCAGCTTTGCATCTCCTATACTCGTGCTGAGTAATTCCAGAATGGTTGTTATATGTTCACTTAGGGGATGAGATTGAACCCCAGCAACAAATGTATTTAATTGATCATTGACATTAATCCAAGACCATCCTGCTTCCTTTATGACTCCCTTTGACTTCATTAACTTTCTTAAATGTGCCACTTCCTTCCATCTTCCACTGGCAGCATATATGTTAGCCAGAGTGATGTGAGTTCCAGCAGAATTTGGATCCAAGCAAAGTATTTGTTCTGCTGCCCATCTTCCCCGGTCAACATCCCCGTGATCCCTACATGCTCGGAGTAAGGTAGACCACACAACATCGTCACAAAGGAATGGCATGTTTCGTATCATACGCTCAGCTTCATTCAACCGCCCTGCTCTGCATAGAAGATCAATCATGCAACCGTAGTGCTCTTTTGAAGGAGCAATCTGATACTCATTAGTCATTAACTTAAAGTAGTGGAAACCGAGATCAACCAATCCAGCATGGTTACAAGCAGTCAAAACCCCAATAAACGTCACATAATCTGGCATTAAACCAACACCGGAAATATTCTCAAACAAGCTAATAGCCTCTTGGCTGTAACCATGTTCTGCATACCCATTGATCATTGCAGTCCATGATACGATGTCATTATTGTTTATACCATCAAAGACTTTTGAAGCCTCTTGTAGATTTCCACTCCTTGAATACATACTAATAAGGGCACTATGAACCATTGCTTCATGATCCAGGCCAATGCACAGGGCATGAGCATGCACCTGCTTACCTGGCTCAAGAAGTGCCATGCTTCCACAAACACTTAAAACACTAGCAAGAGCAAACTCATTTGGTTTCAGCCCTTCCGCTCTCATCCATGATAGATAGTTGAAGGCTTCTTTTGCGTGATTTCCTTGAGAATAAATAGAAATTATAGTGCTCCAAGAAATAATATCTTTTCTTGGCATACCATGAAATACCAATGAAGCCTCCCGTAACAGCCCACATTTTGAATAAAGAGTGATAATGGAATTTGCCACCGACAAGGCATTTACAATACCTAGACGCAATACATGGCCATGTATTTGTTCCCCCAATTCAGTAATAGAGAGATTCGCACAAGCAGAAATTACAGATGCAAAAGTGTACTCATTGGGACTAACATTAGATTTTCTCATTCTTTTAAATGCGTCCAGTGCATGTTTTTCTTCACCCATCTGTACATAAGTCGTGATAAGGTTTGTCCATGAAACTACATCTGGCATGCTCGTTTTTCCAAATAACCGCATGACATAGTCTGGTTTCCCACATTTACTATACATGGTACCAAGAGTATTAATAACAAATGAAGTTTCATTGAAGCCTTGTTTTATTGTTTGCGCGTGTATGGATTTCCCATAATGTAACAAACCTGAATCAGCAGACGCCTTTAAAGCAATGGCAAATGTATATGAATCATAGCCCACTTTTGATCTCCACATTTCAGAAAAGTACATTAGTCCCTCCAAACTGTAACCAGCATGTACAAGCCCCACAATAACGGCAGTCCACGATACTACATTTCTTGTTGTCGTTTTTTCAAAGACACTACAACCTTGTTCTGTTTTTCCTACTTTCATGTACATGTCTACAAGGGCACTGCTGACAAAAACTGAGTTTATCAAACCAGATTTCACAGAAAAACCATGCAATAATTCTCCAAAATATACATTTGTGCCAAGTGCACAAGCCTTGAGGGCAACACTAACCACAAATTGGTCCTTTTGAAGTGCAGAGTTGACCCACATATTTGAGAATAAGATCAATGCTTCATTCGAGTCTGCGGCATTGACGTAACCCGCTATTAAATTTGTCCATGAAATCTCATCTCTGTGAGCCATTTTATCAAATATATCCCTAGCTTCACAAAGTTTTCCCAGTTTCATTAGTTGCTTAATTTGTGAGTTAAGTTCAAGCATATTTGGAACATAATAAGCCATTGGAGCTTGCTGTTCCGGTTTACTCTGCCAGATCACATATCTGCATTCAGTGTCAGTTCCTGCAAATATACTAACTTAAATAAGGTTGAAACCCGGCACAGAAACATGAAGACCTTAAAATTACCATGCAAAGCTTATATGAACATTAATGAACTACTACCTACACCCTAAATTATAAGTCACTTTACAAAAAAATATTGTTCCAAATTATAAGTCACTTTACAATTCCAATGCAATATTAATGACTTTTTTTCCAACTATACCTTCTACTATAATTTATTACTCTTCCTTCTAATTCTTTTAATTTCTCTTTCCTATATAATTAATGAAGGACAATACTGGTCATACATAGTTTCGTTTTCCCTTACAAAATTAATTATGTTCCTGAATTCATGCGAAATGCCTAAAACGTCTTATAAATTGGGACGAAAAGAGTATTATTAAGTAATTAATCTATAATTCGATCAACTGAGGCATTAAGGGATGATTTTTTAAAGTCAGGTTGCTATTTTATATTCCTACAGATAGAAATATGCCATAATCTGAAATCCAAAAGCAATATTTCTCAAAAAAAGCATATTATAACTTTGCTAGAATAGGCACAGGCAAAAACCATGCTGAAAACAATAAATGCACTAATACTAGACTTAATTAAAGTTAAAATGAAAGAAATCAATAATACTAGACATAAGGTGACACCAACTTAAACAAAACCTTTTATATTAAAAATAAAATCAAGTAGGAGAATTTTTTTTAGCATATAACACTAGACAGTGATACAAAGTGTTATCTAATTCCTTCAGTAATCATAAGTTAAAATAATAACAACAAAAAATATGACAGAATAAAAGTCTCTACACAAAACAACAAAAAGTAAATAGATATTTTGGTCTGAGAATGTGAAAGTCGTTGTCACTATAATTGTAGAATGCATCTTTTTTAGTCAATTTGGTTCATGTATATATTATTCAATGGTTAGTTAGGTCGTCTGGTGTCTTACGTTAGTCAGATTGTTCTAAATGAAATTACTAACAGAAGACACTGTCTGGGATTTTTTAAGTCTTTTTTTAATTTTGACACATTTAGAACAACGCCTCACAAATTTAGGACAAAAATAATTGTTTACTCAAACAATAAACACACATTCACATATATTTTTAATTATACTAAGGCAGTTCATGCATTCAAAAAATAAAATAAAGTACCTGGATGGGCATAATTGAGAGGTGGGTTGAGGTTCCTTGAGCATAGAGGAATGTTTGGATTGTGATAAAATGAATCAGCAAGGGCAAGGCCAGGAGAAGAAGCATAACAACGATTCACACAAACACATCGCCTGAAGCCATTGAACAGTTTCTGGAAAATGTGCATCTTTTCTCAGGCTTTGAAATGAAACATAGATTCCCAGAATCATTTTTATTTTATTTTACATCAAGAGGAGTGTCTCGTGTGAGCTCCCGTCCAGCAGCCCTTTTCTTTGATGACTGTAAGGCATTCTCGGCATCCTCCATAGCAAGAACTTCTATTTCACCAAGTTCCAATACAACAAGAATTGCAATCAGAAAGTAAAGTATTCATTCAGCATAAGAGTAAACTAAGCTAAATGGATGATATTAATGGTGTCAATAAACCCAGAACAAGTTATACCAAAGCAGTATCTCGAACACAAACGAGATTTCTTCGGGTGGTCAAAAACCGGCTCAGAAATCCCATTAAGATGATATTGACAAGGACACAACATTGCAGTCATTAAACCAAACCAAGAGCCCAACCCGATTGGGTTTCTCATTCATAAAATAACAATCACATATCACTTAGATGTTCAACTACTATAGCAAGCAGATAAAAACCAACCAAACAAATCAAAGAGGGATTCAACTCAGCAATCTTAGCAACCTCCGTTACAGATAGAACCTTTATTCCCTAATTTTCAGCACACCAAGAATTACAGTCAGAAAGTACAGTATGCATTCAACAAAAGTGTAAACTGTGCTATATGTATGAGAGTAATGGTGTGAGTCTATATATCCAAAAGTTATACATATACTAAAAGGGTGCAGAACAAGTTAAAAATCAGTTAAGGAATCCCATTAAGATGACATTGACAAAGAAACAATGGAAAATGAAAAGGACAATCTGAGAAGCATGCGGCAACATACCAAAGCCACGTAAAAAACAGAACAAAACAAAGTGGCATTGGCATCTACAACTTTAGACCCTTATATGAGTAGATTACACCAATTCGGTCACATCTAAGCTACCAATGTTTGGCAACAATCTTTTCAATAAATAAAAACTCCAACATATTTTTTGAGCTAAAATGAAATCTCTCGATCAATACAATTCTGATGGTTTTCCATTTAAAATTACAATACTGTTAGGTTTATTTTAGCACTCAACCATTTATGTGTGTTTAAGTAACAAAACGACAACTTGTGTATGTTTAAGTGACAAAACAACAAATCCCATAAGTAAACAATATATCTCGTAACTACAACTCGGTTGATAGCTATAAGGATAAGGATATGCTTTCAAAACCGAGATTTCCCACTTCTCCATATTTTAAGCATACAAGTCTAACTACTAAGCTACTTAACCAACAAAGTAACAAAATAACACAAAAAATCAGCTAAGACATCCAATTAAGATGACATTGACAATGAAAACCTTAAAAACACACACAAACAGAGACACAAAAACTGAGAAGCGTGTAGCAACTAAGTAACCCTGGAAAAAACCAGAACAATGCAGAATCTACAACTTAAAACCTTAAAAGCAGCCTACAACAACTTAGTTCTATCTTAGCTACCAAAATTCAGACAACAATCATAACAACGGATAGAAATTTCAACATATTTCTTTGAGCTACAACTAAATCAGTCACAGATTAACAAAATCAAGTTTATCAACTA